GAGTCCACTGTCTTCGTTAAAAAAATAGAACCACACCCTGGGGCCGGCCTTGAGGCCTGTGCCTGGGGAGCCCTCTAACCCTGGGCCCCAGTGCTGTGCCCCCAGACAGGTGCAAGGAGAAACACGTGCAAGGAGCAGAACCCTGCCCCTCCCTGCTAGCAGGGGCTGGGGTGACTAAAGGAAACAGCCCTCTCCCGTCCTTGAGAATAGTCTGGCCCGGGGCCCAAGACCCATGTGAGATTTGAGGGGAAGATGCAGAGCAACTTCTAGAAAAGGGTCTGGAGAGACTGTTTGGGGAAGATGGTGTGACACCCAGACAATGACTCTTGTGGTTCCTAAAGCCCAGGCAGAAGCTGCTGGCTGCCCCCCCAGGCGTCCGGGCCCACCCTCCTCCAGCTCCCCACACCCTCCCACTGGTGAGGATGCCCTTGTGTGGCCTTTGGAACACACAGGGGGTGGAGGCAGGCACTTAGCCCAGCTCCAGTCGATGTGCCTCTACGTATGGAAGGGACGAAAGGGAAAAAACAAGAGCTCTGCTTGAAACATGTTCGTTTCAGAGCCGCCTCATGATCTCCAAGTCACTGGAGAGGTCACTGGGAAGCTGGAGATGATCCTGCTGTCTCACCCTAACCCCCCAACCCTCAGAGCTCTCTGCGCAGACCCTGCCCCAGTCCTCCATGCCGGGGAACATGCTGGCTCCCAAACCACGTGCGGCTTTGGAGCTCTCCTGCCTGCCTGGCCCCTGCATACAAAGGAGCTCACCCCTCACTTACCGCCCAGCTCTGACGCATCACTCATGACCTGGTGATTCAAACATCACCCGACTCAGTATCTGCTATGCCTCTGGGACTGACTGGAGGACCCCTGTCCCGGCTGCCACCACAGGGCTCTCCGGGGGCCAGACAGCCCCTGCAGCTGGCCTCCCTGGTGCTGGCTTCTGCCCTGGGCACACCTGAGTCTCCTGCACACTTTGGATCTCTGGAGATCCAAGGGAACCCCTTCAAGGAGCTCAGTCACCTGCCAAAGATGTCTTCCTGAGGCCCAAGAAGGGAAGAGAAGGCACAGGTTGGAGTCTAGCAGGCCTGGGTCTGAACTGTCCCTGCTAGGGGCTCTGGACCCTCGAAGAGCCCGTGATCTCTCCGAACCCAGTGGTCCTCGTCTGTCAGGCAGGGAGGGTGTTGATGAGATGCTGGGCAAGTCACTGCCCTTGTGGGCCCTGGTGTCCTCAACTGTGAGTTGTGAGAACTGCTTTCCATCCCTGAGATGTGAGGAGGGGACAGGTGGGGTGAATGCTGAGGCTGGGGGCTAAAGGGACCATTCAATTCTCCACAGTCTCCAAGTCCGTGGTTTTAAACCTGTCATCATGGATGAACCAGTACATGTTCGGGGCTCCTTCCTGTATGGCAGGAAACTGTCAGGAGGTCAGTGGGCGAGGAGATGGATGAGAGATGTAGCTCACTGTGCATACTTAACAATGCCCCCGGAAACTCCATCTCACAGAGCCGTTTCCCTCAACCTTCACACTGGCCACCTCCTGCCTGCCAACTTCTTAAAGGCTGGCATATAGCACAAATATGAGGGCCGCTGGGGCCAGGCCAGGAGCTGTAAGGTGCTGAGAGCTCCCCTGTGACCCCTCATTAACGCCCCTCTCCCGCCAGTGACAGGAACCTTTTATGCTGATGTCACTTCCTGTCCAGGAATCTCTCCTAGAGAAAATGCCTAAATATACAAATAGCTTCATAAATAATATTAACCACTGTGTTATCAATAATAACCAACGACTGGAATTAACCTCTATCTGTAAACTACATCACATATATTCGATCAAACATTATGCAGCCATTTAAAGAAAGGGAGGCTTACTGATAAGTATGAGAATATGGGGAAAACTTGATTAGCATATCAAATGATAAGAGCAAAAATCTAAAAATGCTTATTCAGGATGGTTTAAACCAGTGCTGCCCAACAGAAATATAATGCAAGCCACATCCTTAAATTTTCATTTTTGAGTAGAAACATTTTAAAAAGTAAAAGTTAATTTTAATAAGATTTTCTTTAACTTAATACATTCAAAATAGTGTCATCAACATGTACTAAATATAAAAAGTTATTAAGTAGTGTACTTTCTTTTTTTTTTGTACAAAGTCCCCAGAATGCAGCTCAGCTCAGCACATCTGGGAATTCATATCTTTGAAATTATAGCACATCTCAGTGTGGACTTGCTAGGTGCCAAGCAATAACAGCTACACTGGCTAGTGACTACCTCACCAGATTGCACAGGTCTAACCCATTAGAAAATGTGAAAGGACTTAAGTAATAAAATTAAAAAAAGACTAGAAAGAAATGTCAAAATCTTAATGATCACAGACTTTCTCTGAGCGGTGGAAATATGAATGTGATTTTTCCTTCCTCTTCCTGTTTTTTTTAAGTGTCTACATACAATGAATTCGTGTTACTTTAGCACAATAACAAGCGTCAATCTTTACTTTTGGAAGGAAGGGCTTTAAGACCTGAATGGGTGCACTGCACCTGCCAAGCACTGATTTATTTATGCCCACGAGAGCTGTCCTGTACCCGACACCTCACAGAGGGTACGCTCTCCCTGAATGCTAGTCGGTTAGTTGGTTAGCTGGCGGGAGGGTAGGTTGGTTGGATGAATGGGAAGAGGGAACAAAGTGAGGGAAACAGTACATTATAGCAGTTACAGGAGAAAATTCAATGCAGACCCTTGTTTCCAAAGCCCAAAACTATCACTTCGAGCTGCATGGTTTTAAACAAGTCACTGAACCATTCTGTGCTTGAATTTCTTCAGGTATGAAATGGCCATGGTGACAGTCGATCTTTCACAGGGTTCGTGAGAACTAAGTGAGTTTATCTCTACAAAGTGTTTGAACACAGTGTCTGTCGTGCGGCCAATGTTTCCAGAAAGGTTGGCTGCTGTCCTCATGGTGAACCAATGAATGACCGGTGTGGCCAGGCTGTCTGACTTATACAGCCGTGGCACCCAGGACACAGGCTAGAGCCACACTGACCCCAGGTCCCTCCTGAGAGTAGATAGCATTGCCCCTCAGTCCTTGGGTTTGCGTGTGGTCCCTTTGCCGTTTGAACACAGTGTCTGTCGCGCAGCCAATGTTTCCAGATGGCTGCTGTCCTCATGGTGAACCAATGAATGACCGGTGTGGCCAGGCTGTCTGACTTATACAGCAGTGGCACCCAGGACCCAGGCTAGAGCCACATTGACCCCAGGTCCCTCCTGAGAGTGGACAGCAATGCCCCTCAGTCCTTGGGTTTGCGTGTGGTCCCTTTGCTTGACTCACCCCATTCCCCAGCTCCTGCCCCAAGTCCCCGTGGCCCGCGTACCTGCACCACCTCTGGCCTCACATTGAAGGTGTACAGCCAGTCACTGAAGCGAGGGTAGCTGTTGAGCTCAGAGGTCCTCTCACCAGGAGCCACGCTCAGCTTGCACTGCCGTTGCTTGCAAATATACCGGACCAGCTTGGCCTGCGGGGAGCCCAGAAAAGAAAAGGTGGTTCATTCAGGTCATAGGCTCATGGCCGCCCCGAGCACGCATGCTGTAGGGGAGCTCTGGCAAACAGGAGCCTGCTGGATTCCCTTTTGCTGAAACAGAAAAGGGGGGAGGGAAGACAGGAGTCGGGTCTGGGAGAGCCAGCAGGAAACCTGGAAAACCACCCGTAATCCTCTACCCAGCCCAAGGGTGGCTGACACTGCCTCAGGCTCGGGCATGATCCTCAGAGAGGAATGGGCAAGACTGGCCAGAACAGAGACTGGGGTTAAAACGTAAGGAGGACTTCCTGCTTGAGTGAGGGAGGTCAGGTTGGGCAGGGGGAGGCGGTTAGTAATTGATGATATGGAAGATGTGGGGGTTTGAGGATCATGAGTAACCTCTCACTTAGGATGCATCCAGCCTAGAATCAGACTGCCTGCGCCGGGATCTGGGGGCTCAGGCACACCCTCGCCCTGTGACTTTACACAAGTTACTTAACACCCCACCCCCAGAAAGGCCTCAGTTTCCTCCTCCAGAAAACAGGGATAGTAATAGAACCTCCCCGATAGAACAGATAAAACACTCGGTGCGTGCCAGGCCCACGCGTGCTGGCCATGCCCCCTGGGCGACGGCAGCGTTCGTAAGGGTCCATGACTCGAGTCCCACAATAGGCTTGCAGGACCCACACCCTGAAAGGTATGCTTGAAACTTCAAATATAAAACGCTTAAGTAAGGTCAACCTGGCGTTCCCTTTGACAAATACTGGGCGCCCTCTGGGTGGCCCGCAGTGCACTGAGGAATGCAGAGGGGACAAGCCGTGCAGGGAGGGCACAGCCCAGGGCCAATTACAAAGAAGGGGGGATGGGCTCCAGTAGATGGAAATGAATGCACAGCGTCCTGGAGTGGCTGAGATCAAGTGACCCCCGGGCCCATGAGAACTGCCGAGATGCTGATCAGACTCTACTGGCCTCATGTTGGTGACTTTCAGCTTCCCCAAGAGGCACGCACCACCTTCAAAGTCTTGTACAGAAGCCCTGCCTGGGAGCCACTTCCCAGGCCTCCTACCCCTCAGAGGGTTGTGTTGTCAATGCACTCCTCCTTTATCCTCCATCTGTACATATCTCAGTGCGTTTCTCTAAACAGCACAGTCCCAATACTAACAAGTAATTAATGATCATTATCATTTAAATGTCAAATATCTAGGAAGGCTCCCGATTTCCAAAGAGGAGTTCTTGCCCATTTTTGCACCAGGGACCCCTTTGGCAGTGTGGGGAGCTCCGAGTCTCTAAGAATAATGCTTTTAAGTGCGTAAAACAAAACACTTAGGATAAATAAAGGAAATCGATTACATGTAAAGACATGTATCAAAACATTCCTTAAGGCAGTGATAGGGTACTAGAAGCTTCCTTATTAAAGCGGTGGGTGCGGTTATCATAACTCTGAAGTTGTGCTGTTCCAGGCGGCTCCACAACTGTAAGGTGATATGGAAACAGCTGTGATTTCTACTGGTGACCGAGTCACACAGATTTGCTAAGACAACTGTGCCTGGTTGCCTCCATCCAAATGGAACGACACCCTGAATTTCAGGTACCGGTTAATGAAAATAAAGGTAATAACTTCCCACTCCAAATTCATGAGCCCCCAGAATTCTCTCCACAGACTCCAGGGAAAGAACCCGTGTGGCTGGAGGGAGATTAGGCGTAAAAAGAGACCCATCCTGACAGCAAAACCATTGCTTCTGCAGCAGCCTTTCTGAAATCTCCCCTAGAAACCTGTTTGGTCCCAAGCTCACAACCGGCTAGACTCGGGGGCACTGGCCCGCTCCCATGCCCTGACCTCTGCTAAGTCCTGCTACCGTCAGAGGGCTCAGTGGCAAGTGAGGATACTTGCTAGAGAGGGAACACTGAGTCGGAACAAAAATAATTCCACACAGTTGCACAGTTTCTAGGCTGAGTGAAACCTAGACGGAGGCAAACCCACGGCTGCTCTCCGTGCCTGCACTCCGGGCCCCTCGAGTACCCAGAGCAGACATTACTAATCAGACATTCTCCACCGAGGCTGGCAACTCCCAGGCTGCCACACAAGAAGTATATTTGCAGTCCTATTAGGGGCCCTAAGCCCCTGGAACATCTTCAGAGCATGGAGCTCAGAAGTGTGAAGACACAAATGCCTCTCGCATCCTAAAGAGCTACGTAGAGGCACTCCTGCCCCTTACCCAGACTCACCCCACTCTGGTCCATCCCTCCTCTAGTGTAACCAGAGGCCCCAACTTTCTTTACTAGGCTCACCTCACTCCACCCCTGGCCCACCCAGCCCTCCAGGCGCACACTCACCTAGAAAATGCTATTTCCTATACTTTCCTACCCTCTGGGCCTCGGCTCAAGCTGTCTGCTCTGGCCAGAAGTCCCTCCCTCCTCCAGCCACAGTGTCCTTGGCCTGGGCAAGACTTCCCCGGGCCTGATTAGAGTTCCTGTCTCCCCTTCCGAGTGGGCTGTCTGTGTCTCTATGGCAGCCCCTATCACAGCCGGTCTCAGAAAGGAGCTTCTGAACAGACATGAGCTCCCAGGGCAGCGGACATAGAACCGGCTTTGGAGTTTAACAGAATCCGAGTTCCAATCTAGGTTCTCATGCCCTGACCTCTGCTAAGTCCTGCTACCGTCAGAGGGCTCAGTGGCAAGTGAGGATACTTGCTAGAGAGGGAACACTGAGTCGGAACAAAAATAATTCCACACAGTTGCACAGTTTCTATGTTGAGTGAAACCTAAACAGAGGCAAACCCACGGCTGCTCTCCGTGCCTGCACTCCAGGCCCCTCGCGTACCCAGAGCAGACATTACTAATCAGACATTCTCAGCCGAGGCTGGCAACTCCCAGGCTGCCACACAAGATGTATATCTGCTGTCCTATTAGGGGCCCTAAGCCCCTGGAACATCTTCAGAGCATGGAGCTCAGAAGTGTGAAGGCACAAATGCCTCTCGCATCCTAAAGAGCTACGTAGAGGCACTCCTGCCCCTTACCCAGGCTCACCCCACTCTGGTCCATCCCTCCTCCAGTGTAACCAGAGGCCCCAACTTTCTTTTCTAGGCTCACCTCCACTCCACCCCTGGCCCACCCAGCCCTCCAGGCGCACACTCACCTAGAAAATGCTATTTCCTATACTTTCCTACCCTCTGGGCCTCGGCTCAAGCTGTCTGCTCTGGCCAGAAGTCCCTCCCTCCTCCAGCCACAGTGTCCTTGGCCTGGGCAAGACTTCCCCGGGCCTGATTAGAGTTCCTGTCTCCCCTTCCGAGTGGGCTGTCTGTGTCTCTATGGCAGCCCCTATCACAGCCGGTCTCAGAAAGGAGCTTCTGAACAGACATGAGCTCCCAGGGCAGCGGACATAGAACCGGCTTTGGAGTTTAACAGAATCCCAGTTCCAATCTAGGTTCTGCCATTTACTAGTTGTGTGACCTCATTCATGTTTCCGAGCTTGCTTCTCTCACCTGTACAACAGGAATGATACTATCCAGCTCATTCGTGGTCCATTGGGAAGACTGAACAATAGTATGGGAACCCCCCAGTGACTAGGTTAGTCACCCTATCATTGTACATCAGGGCGGGGACAATGCCTACCTCTTTGTGACTGTCCCCACATGCCTATTCCTGCGTGTGACACACAACATGTGCTCAAACATCACAAGGAAGGAGGAACCAAGGGAACCCGTTAAAATGTTTTTCACAGCCAGGCCTTCCCTCCACTCCAAACTGCTCTCAAACCGCAGCTTCAAAGAGCTGACTAAAGTCAGGGCAATAAATCAAATAAATCAAATTCTTTTCCACATTAACCCAAGAGGTCGGGCTGCTGGCACGAGCCGCAGCAGCAGCGAAGGCCATCGCCACTGGCACGGGAGTTTCCAGGGCCATAACCCTGGGAGCTGATTAATAACATCCATTCTGCACAAGACTTTGGCCATCACAGGTCAACGTCAAGATCAGCCAATCTAGCCTCAGCAGTGAGCCAGCGTTTGGGGCTCTCTCTCATTCAGCCCCCTCCGGCGTGTCCAGCCCTTTTCAGCCACCAGGCCCTCTGCCAAAAAGGTTCTCTCAGCTCAGCTTAGATATCCATTCCTCCCCCAAGCCTTCCAGCCCTGCTCCTTAGCCCCCTGCCTGCTCCTCCATCAGAACACAAATTGCAGTTCTAATATTTTCCTTGTCTGCTTCCTTCTTCCAACTGGAAACTCCATGAGGCCAGGTGCCTGGTCTGTGTTCTTGCTCAGCACCGGATCCCCAGGAACCAGCACGGCACCTGGCACAGGGTTGGCTATTGTAAAACCTTTGTCGAATAAATAAATGCACACATAATACATTTTTGTAGCCCCGGCAGCCACATAACATTCGCCAAAATGACAATGGAAAACAAATGCTAATGGGGCAAGTGAGGACTGAGGAGTCTGAGAGTCTCAAACACCAGGGCAAGTTCCCCAGAAGAGGAGTGAGCAGTTGCTTAGTTGAGAGGCCGTGAGCGATCCCTGCTGGACAGCCCAAAGCAGGCCTGTGGGTGGGACTGTGCAGAATTCACCTCACCCAGTGAGCAACCCATAAGCCGGGTGGGCACAGTCTGGTGACCCGTGGCCAGCAGGCCTGGTGTCCTGTTGGCTGCCACCTCCCAGAGCTCATAGAGAAGAAATGACACCTGCAGACCTGGGTTCTGCTGAAGGAGCAAAGCTGTTCTCATTCACAATGGGTGGGGGTGCCGGGGGCACAGCAGCTCACATCTGAGCGAAAAAGGCTGCTCTCACTTTTGGGAAAGTTGGTCACAGTCACAGAAGCACCCAGGGGCTACTTTCCCAGAGAAACTACGGTGGAGCCTGCCAGCCCAGCCCAGGGGCCTGCAAGGGGACCTTTCATGAGTAGAGTCATTTTCTCTTAACCACAAAACCGCCAGATATAAAGTTTCCGAAACAGAAAAGCACCTGGGGTTTCAGCGATGGAACAAGCAGCAGGAGGGAGAGTCATTA